TACTGGCTTTCAAGAAAATAGTGAGTATCTTACATTTACCTTATTTCACAGCTACATTACTTGCATTCCCACTCACTGCTGATCATGCGTGGGGAGGTGGTGCTCACCCCATCCTTGGGGGGTCTTCAAGAGGAGACTGGACAGGCACGTGGCTGGGATCACATAATCCCAGGTTTGGTGACCCTTTTCTTGCAGGGGGTCAGACTGAGGTCCCTTCCGACCCTACGAATCGATGAAACTACAACAGCTCTGCAGAATTTACTCAACTCTGCGAGAAATTAGATCATCCTTTTGATTTTCACTCTCACCCATTCAGGATGTGAAGCACTTCATTGGGAACTCTTGGCAGCCTGGGATGACACTTGTGAGCCTTTTAAAGGAAATAGCCTCATTTGGGACAGCGTCTGCTTTAAATGGTGTCCCTTGTTTCCCTTTTAACTCCTCCCCTGATTGCTTTCTGGATCCTAATAGCCACTGTGGTGGGGTGGGGAAAGCAAAAAGCGGAGTGCTGGAGACCCCCCACCCAGGAAAAGCGCGGGTTGAGAAATCTAGGGGTTTTGGCTGGGCCATGCTTGCAGAATCGGGTCCCCTGTTTGCCCAGAGGAATATTTGCCTTGTCTCTAGACTCCATTGTTTAGCTGGCGTAGGGATCAGTCACCGTGTTTACTTTTGGCTTCTGCGTCTGTGAGAGACATTCCTGAAGGGTTGCAAAGAGCCGCAGAGCATATGACAGGGACCCTCCAAATCCCTGATACCTCCCTCCCTGTTGCAACCGGTGAGTGGGTATTTGAGGACGATACATTAGGAAATCCAGTGACTGATGCCAAGGAAGCCCTGGATCTGGACCCTTTAGTTAAAGGAGCCATCCTTATTCCCCCAGGTCGTCGTGCTGATCAGTTTGCCCTCTGTACTAAGAAACGATTTGCGTGCTGATCGATTTGCCCTCTGTATTACTTCCCTCCCTGGGAAGTAAATGGGAGTTCATTGTCAGCCAGAATATACCCCGTATGATGTCCCTGTGTGGATGAGCAGGATACCCTCAAATAAAGCAAAGGCTGCTGGATTGGTGCCTTGCTGTGTGTGGCAAGCTGTTTGACTTCTGGCAGGGAGTGTGCATTGCTCCATCTGCCTGTCTCTTCACCGAGGACATTTTTTTTTTTGCCTGACATTTGTCTATTAGGGCCATTTCAGATTTCCTGAGAGTTGATTTACACAGTCGATTTATTAGTTCATGCTGCCCTCTTGGGCTGGCTGCTCATCAGCCACGTGTCTCTTCCTACCTACAGACCTGCCTCCGAAGATCCCTTCCTATGTTCACGCCCCTGCCGTCTCCAAATCTCACCTGCCCAGATTTTTAAGCTGGGGTCAAAAATGAGCTCTTTGAAATAGGACCCGTGTTATCCTGGGAGGCGCAAGCATCGGGGATCATTTAGCGGGACCTATAGGGATGTGATGAGGAATAGTGAATAGAGAAGGGGAAAATCATTTATGACTGCCAGGGAAATTGCTTGCCCATCAGCTTGTCACGCAGCCCTGGCAGGGTCTCCAGCAGATGGATGCTCATCAGCCTGCTGCATTTGGGGCTTTTCACGCTGAGCCTACGTGTTCCTAGATTTCCCTTGGGCTGAGCAGGCAGGGACACTAAATCGTTCCTCTGGCACGTCTGCTAAGGACAGGCTGGGTGCAATCCCATCACAGCAGTGGGACCTCATCGCCCGGCTGCTCTAGGCTCTCTAGATCAGTGCTGATTCCTGCCAGCTTAAAGATACCGTTTTTAAACATCTATCTGTGTGCTCTCTCTGGGTTTTCACTTGACCTCCTGGGAGACACGCGAGAGTGCCCCGAAAGTTGACATGTTCAGAAATATCCACTTTAGGAAAGATTTAAGAAAGCTCCTTGTCCCATTGTCGGTCCCCAGCACTGATCTAAGTGCAAACTCTTTCAAAGACACTGAAACCCTTGGCTAATTTCCCTTTGTTATTGTATCTACATAGATTTGCTCTTCTAGGGTTACAGGGGTGTAGGCTGTGGCCGTGCTGGTCTAAGGACATAGGCAGACAAGGCTCTTTGGGCGAACCTGATATGTCTTATTAGACCAACTCAAATAGCTGGGAAAAAAATGCCCTAGCAAGCTTTTGGGGTTAAAACTTTTTAAACCCAAAATCTTCCTAATATTTTTTTTTTCCCCCAACTATTTAAGTTGGTCTAATAAAAGAGATCAGATTCACCCAACGAGCCTTGTGTGCCTCTTCTAGGGTTGGACTGTAACGCACCTTATCTCTTCAAAGAGCGGTGGAAACTTTGGCTAGTTAGAGCCTTAATACCCCAGAAACATATGGTAAGAGCCACTCCCAGACTGTGAAATTGAGGTATCGAGTTGCGGGTAAGGGTGACCCTGTGGACTCGGGCTGCAAATGGCTTTTTCATGGTCACAGCAATAATCACTGTCTGCTTGTTCTCCCCCTAAACATAGCCGTGTTTTACTACTGATGACTACAGACATGCACTTTCGGAGCTACGGCTTGACCTAGCTATAAGTTAGACCACACCTCTCATTCACAAGCTGTTCCCAGGCTCTTTCCAGGGCGACCAGAAGCAGGAAGTTGTAAAAATCCCCAGAGCCGAGTCTCAAGAGACTTCCAGAAATGTCTTGCAAATTCCCAAGGGCTTCAGATAAACATTCTTCCTTTTAAGCGATGATGTGAGCTGACCCTCCAGCCCTCCTGGAGTTTGCCTGCCACTAATTTCCTTGTTCCTCTAATGTGCAGGGCAACTTCTGCTCAGAGCTGTATGAATAAAATTCCCCCCAGCAAAGGAAAAATAGTCTCTTTGCTGAGAAAGCAATCCTGATCTCCTGGGGCAGGGTTAGCTAGAGACCTGCTATCTCCTAGCCTGCCCCCATGTTGAAGGTGTCACCAGGGGGAGCTGCTTCTGGGCACTGCATCCATGTGTCCCCAAAGGATGGATGAAGCATAAAGAGTACGTGTATTGAATAAAACCCAGCCTCTGCCCACTAGCATCAGTAAGGGTCAGGCAAAACCCACTCCGGGTACATCTTCAAACATCTGTGCCTTCAAACAGCCCAACAGGATTGTCCTACTGCTGCCTTTGCTCATGACACCGATGTGAGGACGCCGCACTTGCTCTCGGTGCCCTGTCTTGTGGCCACTGCCACAAACTAGACTGGTTTTCTTAGCCCTCCCCAGCACAAAATGAACACAAAAATGCCCCCTTCTGCTCCCTGGTGCCATTACATCGATTCTCCGGGCCCCTTTTTAACTTCTATTTTCCTTCCCTCTTAAAAATAGCAAACCCACCACAGTCCTCTCTGTTCAAAAATCCCAATTTTTTTTCCTCCTATTTTTCTAGGAGGAAAAATAACCATTCCTTTCCCATTTAGGGAAAAGCAATTAGCCTAGGTGGAAAGTGTTTCCCCCTACTTTCCCAAACTTTCTTTAGCTTCCTTCCTTTTTCCAGTAGGAAAAAAATAGGCCAACATAAGGAGTGAAAGCGTGTGTGTGTTGGGGGCAGCAAAATGAGGGGCAAAGTCTGAAAATAATAACCCGTTTGAAACAGAAAGTCCACGAGGGGCTTGGCTACCTAATTTTACAGGGAAGCTGCTGAGATATTTCAGTGATGGGCACAAGCCTGAAAGACAAGCAGGAAAGCAACTGTGACAAGTTCCTGAAAAGTGAAATGAAAGAGCAGAATTTTTCCCATACGGAAAAGAAAATACCCTGCAAAGCATTACAATTTGGCAAAAATGAGAATTTTTTGAACAGCTCTATCTCTCTCTGCACGAACAGATAGAGAGGCTACATGGAGCATGGACCAGAGGGTTTTTGGAGGACGTTTCCCCCCTGCCTTCATTCCAGCTGAATTCAATCTTTAAAGAAGAATTCAGTCAGATGTACAGATTATAAAACTGAAAATGAGAGAAAAAGACACCAGGAAATTCATTTCAGATAGCTTTGGCTGGAAACAGTGTTCAGTGAGCCTTCCTGTGGTTAGTCTGTCATTCTTGAGAAGAAAAAAAGGTCAAAAATTGTATCCTCTAACTCAGCAATAACTCTTAGCTTGAAAAATACAAATAGAAGGGAGTATACAGATTTTTAGTATCTGAGTAAAAACAAAAACAAAAAAATCAGTATTTCAAAATATTAAGAAATTTAAAAATAGCTACAAACACTTCCCTTTTATAGTTTAAAAAGAAGTCTTCTGTTGTGATTAAGCCTGATTTTTATGTAGGACACACACACACACACACACGCACACATACATACACACATGCACACACATGCACACACACACACACACACACACACACACGCTGCAGGGTTTGGCTTTCCAATATTTTCTCTGAGGTTTCTATGTTGGGAATTTTGATATTGTTGAATTTTCCTCATCTATAGCACCAGGTCAGCTTTGACACAGGATTCAGAAAGAGGATTTTGAAAAGTAATATTGTGCGTTGAGAGAGCTCTTTTCTGGTTTTTGGTGCACTGTACAAACATCTATTAATCATCATGACATACCTGGTGCAAAAAAGCAGCTCCTACCAATAAGTCATCTTTTGCCCACCATAGAATCTGAGCTACCATGTTTTTCCTGCACTTAGGGCAGAACCCCCCCCCCAACCCTCTAATATCTCCTGCACTGTGCCCAAAGTATGGGACGTGTCTATTAATAGGATGGCATACAGTTAAAATAGATATTGTTATGCCCGTTTTACAGTGAGGTTATGTGACATGCCCAGGGCCATGCTGTGAATCAGTGCCAGAGCTGGAAAGCCTCTCAGTCCCTGGTTAGCAGTATTTAGCTTATTAGTGCCCAAAGCTGGACTTTCTGTATGATGATGAGGCTCTTTATGTATGCCCAAAATACGCTGGGCGCTGTATATATGTATATATAAAAAAAAGAGTAGTTTGTGCCCCAGAGATCTTAATCCTGTTGTCATGAATAAAGCAGAAATATCACCGTAGATCTGTTGTCAAACTCACCCGTGCTTCCTTAACTTAACATGATCCGCATCCTTGTAATGAAGCTCCCCAGTGAATTAAAAGCACAGCTGTATGCAAAGCGCCTGTTGCACTGTATGTTTAGGCAGTTATTCAGGCTCTTCAGAAACGCAACATATGTTATTTATCTGGGACCTTCATCCTCTGTGATAGCTTTACGGGGCTGGAGCGCTAAGTCACCGAATCCCCTTTTTCTCTTGCAGTCAGAGAAAGGCTTTGGCTCCTTTTCCCTGTTGAATCAAAGTTTAACGTGGTTCTGCTCGTACCTGCTGTGCAGCTGAAGGAGGAGTTTCCACTTCTGCTTGCAGCGCTCGCTCTCTCGGACGCTCCTTCCAGGGAGGACTGAGGAAGGGCTTCCTTGGGGAAGTAGCACCTCTGCTGCATGCCAGCTGACTAAAACTCGGAGAGCTCAGAGAGAAGTTTAAGTCACTGACAGCAAAAAAAAAAAAAAAAATACTGCCCA